TGGTGTTTTCGCAGAATTTGAAGACTAAAGAATAAAATACATAGAACAAACCCACCAGGATATTGCCAATCATTTTCTGCGATATTTGACATTTTCTCCGATTGGAAATGTAGCATCTTTAATTTAGAACAATTGGCCCTGGTTTAAGAAACAGGGTTAGGTAAAATAGAATCTCTGTGGGGAACCGAGGATGGCAGGTTAAAATTGGTGAATGGTTTTGTTTAATGTCAGAGAAGACCTGGCAGGGGAGCTGATCGGGTGCTGGGTGCTCTGTGGTGAGTTCACCCACAGGTTAAGCTTCTCGTTCTAGAGGAAGAGATTGATCGATGGGAGGCAGCTGTGGTGATGTGCCGTCTTTTAAAATTGTATTTATTTGTTTTTTGTTGTATTTAAATGTAGGAAACAGAAGAGATCCCACTGGGAACATATCAGATCTGAGTAATACTGTTATTCACACACACACACACACACATATAATTAGGTACTATAATATGTAAATTGGCCGCGGATTTCTTACTACAGTTAGTCACATGAAAACATTTTCTATCATTTTAACAGAATATTCAGCACATTCAAAGAAACATCCCACAGTGAGTATTATCTTGGACAATTGGAAATAAAAAGAAATTAAAGATAATAAACCAAATGTAATTCTCCCTTCAATGACGAATATGTGAGCATTTTCATTGGTGTGCAGTTCTATCATTCGCTTCACTTTGGCAAAAGCCTATATGCTTTTCCCCCTCTTTTCATTTTCCCCTCTCTTCTTATCTGACCCAACATTTTTTTCCCTCTTTCTGTTCCTGTCTCCCTTCATCTCCCTCTGTCCTCCCCCCTACTCTCCTCCTCCTTTCACCGCCTGTTATCTCCACCGTGCAGTTGACTGCTTCTGTCCTCTGGGTGTCAGCACTCGCCTTATCCTTCATTCAGCCACATGCAGCTTTGTGTGAACCAATCACCCCGTTTTCTGCCTGTATTTCATGTTTCCATGATGATTCTCTTCTTCCCTTGTTTCTGTCTTTCTTTACATTTCTCCCCCCTCCCCCCCGCTGCACCCTCTGCACACCCTCCCCCAGCTGCCTGCTTTTTGCAGTTCTTCCACACATTAGTACTTCACCATCACATTTCACCCATCCTTTCCCGATTACACACACACACACACTCACAGACACACCTGTCAATCAATAATTCTGCAGTAACCCTATCTATTGCTGTGTGTGTGTGTGTGTGTGTGTGTGTGTGTGTGGTTTAGATGTGGGGGGTGAGGGGGCAGAGACTGGAGTTGTAATGGGAGATTCCCATCCACTCATCCCACTGCTCTAAATAGGAGGCAAAGGTGACTTTCAGGAAGTTCATTATAAACACACACACACACACACACACACACACACACACACACACACACACACACACACACACACATGAAAAAATTATATAATTCACATGCATGCACCCAGTGAGCTGCTTTAAGCACATAGAGTAATTGAAGGGGATTGTGTGTGTGTGTGTGTGTGTGTGTATGTGTGTGTGTGTTTTGGAGCAGACTGAAGGTCAGTGTGAAAAGGGGATTTTGGAAGGTGAAGGAGAGAGGATGAGTTTAAGGATTACTGAGGTAACTCTGCAGCAGTTCCTGACTGCTACCAGGGGTGTTCTGACAAAAGACCCCCCTCTGAATTATTGAGAACATAATGAAATGTCCTTGGAGAGACAGAAAGACAACACTGTGCCACACTCCTCCCATTTCACTCCTCCTGCCCGAGTCTGATGATTGGGCAGGAAAGGAAAAAGAAAGTTCAGTCCTATCATCTCTTCTTTTATTTTCCCTGCAGAAGAATGAATCTTATCTTTAAATGGACCCTCCCCCCTCGTTTTCTTTTGCCTTGCCAAAGCCTTTATTTGACAGTAGCTTCTGCCCTTTGCTCCAAACTGCAGTTAATCTCCCTCTGAATTCATAAAGCATATTTGTTCACAATAAACCCTGAATGATTCAGAGTCGTGGCTGAAGGTTATTCTGCTGGATCAGGTTCACTTCAGTCCCCAAAACAGGGTCTCTGCAGAGAGGGATGCGTTCAGGTTCTCTTTGGTATGATGTAGATTGTAGAATTGCACAGCTTGAAGGTCAAGGTAAAAATGGTAGGTGTGCACTCAGCAGACATGTGCTCTCACTACCACGTGGAACTCAGGCAAAATAACAAAGGAAACAGAAATTAAGGAAACAACTTGGGCAAATCAAACAATAGGCAGCATGGCCTCACATCATCCAAATAATTCAACTCCTTTTTGAAATAGTTTAATACACGCCTTCACTGATTCAGCCAGAACTGTAACAAAGCTGTTTGACCTCCACAATGATTTCTACACAAAGAGATCCACATTTATATTTCTAAGAGATCTTATCAGTTATAGCCCTGCATGGTGGGTCTGATCAAAAGAGCACACATTCAAGCCAAAGACTGTTCAAACCTAAAACATGACAAAGGTAACTGAACCTAACTCCTGTCAGTCAAATATATTTATGTGATATATATATATAAATATATAGTTTTTTGTCTTTTCTTTCTTTCTTTTCAAATAGCAAGTAGTAATGGTGAAAATGCATTTCATTTGTATAATGATCTGTATTTATACAAAGCACTTTCTAGTCTTGTGCTCTACAGTACAGTTTTTGCCATTCACCCATTCACACACTTTCATACAGTCACTCACTCACAAACTGTCGGCACAGACGTCAGGCAGCAGGACAGTTTAAGTGGGAATGAATTGAAATAAACTGTGGTAAAAATGAAACACATATGCCAGACTGCAGTATAGCTTATTTAAATACTTCTGGACAACAATGGAGCTTTACGGTACAGAGCATTAAGGCTTTGGATACAAACACTACTCATGATACATGATACAAAGCACCATAACCAGTTACTATCATGAGCAACCACTGCTTCTTCCGCCAGGTTGGACACAACCAAACCAATTTGCTTGGATAACATCACACAGTACAAAGAGACATGACAACAATGCATGATGGCTCTTTTTACTCATAAAGAGAAGGGCTATGTTGATTGACAGCTGAGGAGTATGTCACTGTCCTTTAACGGTTCCACTGGGACATTTTTAAATTCAACCCCTGTTCAATTTCACTCAACCCATCCAAGCCACATATCACTCCTCAGATCTTTAATCTGACATCCAATAAATGTAGTCTTGTCACTGTTTTGTCACCCTTGATAGTGCCAACCCTCTAAACAATAAGCAAGATATATTCCTTTAAAGCATAGAATAATTATTTATTTAAATTATTTATGCAAAGTCAGATACAGTGACAGTGCAATGACCTTTTCAAGCAGCAAAACTATTTCCCCTCCTAAACACTGTTGACCTTACGTATGACCTTGTTATTTTGTCTTTTAATTTCCTGTCTGCCCTGGTGGAAGAATGTGTCACAGTGGGTAGATTGCAGATTGGCATTTGCTACCTGGGACCGTGATCGCCTGCCGTCTCCATTTTATCAAATATCTTGTAATATAACATAGCATGGAGACCTGACAGAGCTGGAGGAAGATGAGTCTTTCTTCATCAGCAGTCAGCATTCATGGTGACTCATTAGAATTGTTTTTTTTTGCTTGCTTTTTTACATTTATAACAGTAAAGCTGCTTTTAGACATGCACTGAACTCTGGAGATCCTCCAGACATTATCCCGAGGGGCTGTGAACACAAATGTCCAAGTAAGAGCCCTTCAGACTTTCTACAACCAATTTTATTCATATAGTGCCAAACCACAACCTACACATCTCAAAGCATTTTACATAGTAAAGTCCTATAACCCAACGCTTCCCACAACATGCAAACACTGTGGAGAGTAAAAACTCCAGAATCAGACTCAATGTGCAATCTGCCTCGATCGGTTGGGTCGAGCAGAAAACGAGCACCAGGACTTTTTGCTGGAGGCCACAAGAACAACCTTATTAGATTAAAACTGGTTAAGAAATAAAGGAGGAAAATGGGCCGGCTACAACAGGTCCTCGTAAACACTCGACAGAGAGGCCGTATACCGACTGTGCTTAGTGGATTGGTAAGTTTAAGTGAACTCCTCTTGTCAGCGCCCTCCCTCATCTGGGCCCTCACCCCAGAGGAAATTGATTTGGGAGTAATTAACAACGTGTGTGTCTGGATGTTGGCCAACTTCATGTTCTATTCATGCAGATTAATACATATTTGTCGTTGCCTGTGGGGGCTGAAAGGCATCTGTCTGTGCCATTAAACATTCATGAGTGTGCAGGATGCCGAGAGAAAGAGCCATTCAGCGACTCTTTACCCGCTCCTCCTCCATATCAGCACACATCTTAATGGAGCGCATTAAATCAGAATGGTCAAACAGGGAATTTCGCAGTGACAGTGGCATTCATCACACCTGTTTTAAAGGACAAATCCCCCCTCGCTTCCTCTCTCTCTCTCTCTGTTAGATACCATCAGCCTGTTGTTCAATACAGGAGTGTTGATTTGCAGGTTTACACTGAATTTACCTGCTTTACACTGCATCTGCAAATATTCACCTTTTTCTTTACATGAGTATGGATGTTAACCATGTGGGTTCTCTGTGTGTGGCTTTTTTCATTTTTTCAAAGACATACTACACAGCCATGTTATTGCACATTTCCTGCTTTCCTGTGATGTATTGGATGTAGAATTTCTTGTATGTTTTGTTTTGAATCAGTATATAGTGCAAAGAAGGTTTTAGTTGAATCTGGAAAAAAAGGTGTCGTCACAAGGGGACCCTTTTTTCGCAGCTTCATCATATTATCTCAAAAAATCATGGTTTCGCTTTTGAAAATATTTTTTTAGTTTCTGTAAAATGAAAAAATTAAAATTAGCCACTGTGAGTCTTTCCCTGGATTTCTTGGCCTGACCTGCTGAGACTCTTTGGTCCAAAACTCAGCACTCTGATCGGCGATGAATAATTAAGCAGTGTTTTATAAATGATCACTACTGTGTGTGTCCATAGGTGGCTGGAGTGTGTGGGGTGTGTGGGCGCAGTGCAGCAGCGAGTGTGGCGGTGGGATTCAAACCCGGACCAGGACCTGCCAGTCACCTCCGGAGGAGTCGTACCTGTGTGAGGGTGTGGTGGAGGAGGGCCGGCCGTGCAACTCGCGGGCCTGCACCGGTGAGCTGCTCACTTTTTGGGTGTATGTGGGTTTGTGTGCATTTGTGTGTACGATACATCCATTTCTGTTGGTCTATGCCCTTGTTACCACTTGTGGTTCAATATGGTAGTGTGGTGTGTTCAAACTGTGTGTTTACAGCAATCTTTTTTAACATTTCTGACATCCTGTTCATCTGCTCGTGAAACCATCCTCTGTAAGTCAGTGTTCTGACTTAAGGAGTGCATGTTGGAAAGGGGACTTTGATTGATGAGAAATAACAATGACATGGTCAGCTGTTTTCAAGACCATGCATGCACAGTATGTCAAAATCATTACACCCACAAACGGCTAAAGGGACACAGAAAATCTACATCTGAGCATTAACATGTAGAGACTGTAGAAGTATAGTTTTCACAGGGTAAAGCTTTTCTATGTTTCTGCGTTTTTACATTTCTGTTCGTCAAATAGCTCAAACCGTAGATAATTCTTGGGTGTGTTTGTTTTTCATTTAGTCAGATAAACATCATCAGTAGCACAACTTCAGAAAACATCAAATAAAACTCGCACACATTTACAGCACATCGACACCAACAGCACAACAGAAGTCCCAAGTTTGGCTGATGCTGTTTTGGGTGACCAATCACGTCACGGTTGTGTCCCAAATATAAGCCATTAATTAAGGAGCTTTGGTTGCTAACAAGACCCCCAACCCCCCCACCCCAACCCCCCACCCCCACCCCGGCCTTGCCTCACCCCATTTAGGCAAAGGTCGCCATCTCTCTCGCAGCCAATCGCTTCGCTCCGTGGACAGCCGCAAGCGTGATGACGTAGACAAGCCCCGCAGTGGACAGCAGAGCCCTCAGACAGGTAAGACAACAGGACGCAGAGGGATCCCATGCATCAGTCACATCAACAGCTTGGGTGACCACCACACTTATGCAGGACATACATTCAAAATAACAACCATAAACTAGAGAGTTCCACTCACTTGTAACACACACATCTATCAAAATCTCCCAATGTAGTACCTCGTCCGAAATGGACTAATTCCAACATGGACCCTGACTGAACATAGTGAAGTTGTATTTTATGTAAGGTCATAACAGGACACTGTGCCCTGTGTGTAAAACACTATATGAAACGGAGTCCTCCCTCTCTGTTAAACTGATACTCCACCCAGAATCAAGAGTAGCAAGCGCTCAACCCCTTATTGGCTGAAAGAAATTGTTTAACAAATTGGGACAATGTTTATTCACTGCTTTAATGTTTCCAAGAGTTCGATACCAGTCTCATGTCTGTGTGGTAATTATGGAATGAGTGACAAGATGCGTTAAGCGTAACTTAACAATAATGAATCGGACCTGAAGATAACAAACATGGCAATCTCGCTGTGAAAAGCTTATTTCAATATATAAGCTAGGTGGTTTAATCACTGCCTGGCACCAGCTTCTAAGTACACAAACAGAGAGTAGGTATGGATCTTATCATTTTACTCTTGGAAAGAAAGTGAATAAGCCCATTCCCCAAAAAGTTGAAAAATTACTTTCTAGGGTGGATGTAAAATCTTTGTGAATATAGTTTCTTGACTAAGGCTGTGATCACCTTGGATTCATGTCAGTGTTCATTTCGTCAGCTGTTGGTTTCCGATATAGTATTTAATCAACCTTTTTTTCATCGTTTGAGAGGACTTTTTATTCTTGTCTCAGTCATACATTTTAGTCTAGTTTTAGTGAATGAAAACACTGTTTCAGTCCGGACCAAGAACAAGCATTTCAGACAACCTTTAAGCAAATAATTTCAAATAATTTCACCCTACAGTTTGTATCACTTTGTGCTGGAGAAATTTCATCATTAACAAATCCAATGCAACTCTTGCAATAGTGGCCAAAAAATTCAACATTATTGTGTCCAGTTTAGTCAGGACTGTGCTAGAAAGATAATTGTATTCTGCACTGTTGTCTGCCTTAGTGGTAGTGATGTAGTACAGTTAATAACTGACTTTCAGAAAGAATAAACCTTCATCTGCAAATAGTGTTGTAATGCCCCGTTGTGATGCTACAGATGTTACACTACTGTCTTTAGTGGTAATGTTATCTTAATGTTACCTCAGTTTCTTAGAGACTCAAGCTGTTTCTTCAGGTTTGTGGTTTTCACCCCAGTGATTCTGTAGCTTTAGAGCTTCTGTCCGAACCATTCTACACACTCACCTTTTCTCTCTAGAGTTGTATTTAAAGTGGGTCCACATGTCGACCGGTTTTGTTGCTGTCATGTTCTTTTCTTTCCTAAATCGAAATCTGAAGTTTTAGGTTGCATAACAGAGGTGCACTGCTGCTCTGCTCACAAGAAGAAAAAAGGGGTCCAGTAAAGGTTCACACACATATATATATATATATATATCATGTCAGTATTTTACCATGTAACAAAGTGAACATGGATGGACACAGGAGAAGTGGATCATGTTGCAGTAGTTTCTTTGGTTTGATATCTGTCCACGACAAAAATATTTCTCTTTTGGAAAACATTATAACTGATATGAATCTAAGGTGAGTGGAGCCAATGGCCCTTAAAAAGAAGTACAAACGTTTAAAGCTTACAGGGGATGAACGTTTGGTAGGACATTTTCTTTGGGTGAAGTATTACTTTAATTTGCTAATTGATTTCTCACACCCTGTTTAGTTTTCTCCCTTATTCTTCTGACTACCTTGGTTGCCTTATTGGTCAACTGACTTAGCAGTCATGACCATTGAAACGATGACTGACATATCCTAAGCCAGTGGCATTTACTTCCCCTGGAAGTCAATGCAGAGGATATGACAGCAGAGCCCCATAAATGTAGAACAGAAGCTGGGGTCCATTTTAGGGGCCGCCCTCTCCGAAGGACACAGTGTGTGACATTGTACAGAACCTCAGAAGGCTGGACCTGTCTCCTTTCTAAAAAAAAAGAAATGGTCTGCAGAGGATTCAGGCCTTCTTGCAAGTTCCTGTCGTTGTCTTTTGGACTGAGCAGAGTGCAATGGTTAAGAATCCTGAGGGCAATCAAGTACCACATTGTGTCTGCATAAGAAGCCTTCATTTATCATCCACATTTGGGAGATGCTTTGAAATTGGACAGCGTTATGTCGGTCTCTAAAGGAGGCAGCCCCTAAAATGTGGCACAGCTAAAATCTACCCTCACACCGCAACCCTTCCTCTTTTGCCCACAGAGGCTGCGTCCTGCATGATAATTAGTTATGGCCCTCTCCTTCCCTTTTCCTCCTCTTTCTTCCCCTGTCCACCAATCCTTCCCCCACCCCTTCCTCCTCAGTAGACTCAGCTTCAGGTGAGGAGTGGTCAGCGTGGAGTGTGTGTTCTGCCACTTGTGGCGAGGGCTGGCAGAGTCGCACTCGTTTCTGCGTGTACTCCTCTTACAGCACCCAGTGTAGTGGGCCACTGCGAGAGCAGAGACCTTGCAACAACTCTGCTGTGTGTCCAGGTAAGCCCCCTCATCCCCCCTCTAGTGCCACCATCCTGCACTCGCCCAGCCCTTTCCTGGACCCTGCCTCACCCATACAAGACCCACCTGACTCCCTTCCTCAGGCACTTAGCAAACTTTTTTCCCCTTGGATGATTTTTACCCCCACCTTACAGGAAGGAATTTGCCTGCAGTTTAGACTGATTCCCACTATCATAAGAGTTTTAATGGTGCTCTCAGGCTCTTCTTCATCCAGACAGGAAGGGAGACTCCACACCTTAGAAACAACTGTACTACAGGACTATGGATCAGTATTGATTATGGCAGTAAAAAACAACAGAGTAACTGATAATTGTGGATACAGTTCAGTGTCTTAGTGAAGTTTTCCTTATTTGGTGTGTTAAGGGGGCTTGTGTTTATCTGTCTTTAAATTATATCCTAGCTGCTCTGATTGCAGTGCACGGTGCTTGGGACGAGTGGTCACCATGGAGTTTATGTTCATCAACCTGTGGCCGAGGTTACAGGTCTCGAACACGGACCTGCACTCCCCCTCAGTTTGGGGGAGATCCCTGTGCGGGCCCAGAGAAGCAGACCAAATTCTGCAACATAGCTGTCTGTCCAGGTAAGGAACACAGAAGCCTAATCGTACTGAGACTCACCTTAGTTTCAAACAAACAGACTGAAGCCTGCAGCAGGCAATCTAAAGTTGGGTGTTTGTTGTATTTCACGATCTTGAACCCCCCACCTTTGTATTGTTGGGGCTTTGTCCAATGATTGTTGTAACATTGAAAAAGCCTACAATCAAATAAACATTATTATTAAACCATTATATGTCACACATGTACCTATTCTGCTCCCTAGTTATATGTGCAAACATGACATGAATGACTTTGAGAAGATGAATTCCTTTGTATACCTGGCGTTCTGGCATGGTAACTTGGAAAAGCCATAGACACAATATTATCTAGTTTGTTGGAACTGAACTCTCTCTCCTATCTCAAGAATGTAGAGGGTTATGTACATAATAAATGTATCAGCTATGGACCTATTATAGACAGATCTGATGCATCCAAATAGGACAATAACTTACTTTATTCCCTGTTTGCTCTTGGCGACCCTGGGTATCCTCAGTGGATGGAGTGTGGAATGAGTGGTCCAACTGGAGCTCCTGCTCTGCCTCCTGTTCTAACGGGACCATGCAGAGAACCAGGGAGTGTAACGGCCCATCGTACGGAGGCTCGGAGTGCAGAGGAGAGTGGCTGGAGACCGTCGACTGCTTCCTTGGGGAGTGTCCGGGTATGAGAAAGGGCCACAGCTACATGTATATCAAAAATATTTACCATGGTCTAATAAACTATTTCTTTCTATTCCACTTGAAATCTTTCAAAAATAAATCTTTTAGTTTTGATGGTATTGTGCCTGTTTTTTTCTGTGTCAATTGTATCATGTGGTTCCTCAGTTCAAAACTAAATAACTGACTGTGTTACCTTAAACATAATATCGATGCAGTGTTAGTGGAATGAATTAAATGTTTTTTGTTCCCTTCACTTCAATGGACCATACCAGAATTTTGTGAGTGTATCATATCCAGTGGTTTGGAAGCATTTTGGGTAAATGCTACATTAGGCAGGTCTTGCCAAGAGCAGAGTGACACCTATCCATGCAGGAATTATACTTACAAAGCATAAAAACAAGCTGATACAGGGATACAAATACAAAACAAACTAGATCATCGAGACAACAGAACAATGCAGCTATAACTGCATGAACAGGTTTTAGTATATACATTATTATTATTAAAGCTTATTCCTTATTTCTATTTTTTTAAATCCAAAATGATACAATGTGTTTTCAAAGTTGATCTGCAATGGTGTTAAGTATACATTATGCCATGCATTGTGATTTTGTATAAATATTTTCTATTGAATAGAATAAAACTAAAAACTGGCATGGTCTGTATGGCTGGTATGTGTGTGTTTGACTTATTTGCCTCTGCAATTGTTGCATTCATTATGACAGTGGATGGCAAGTGGCAGCCATGGTCTTTGTGGTCGGGCTGTTCTAAAACCTGTGGAGGGGGGAGCCAGCAGAGAAACAGGATTTGTTATGGGCCCTTTTTTGAGGGGGAGCCTTGTCCCGGAGAACAAGAGGAGGTCCGGCACTGTAATGAAAAGCGATGTCCGGGTGAGTGCATGGAAAAACTACTTGCTTTATCAGCAAAAATACATCATTCTCTACTGGAACCACTGTTTTCATGTATCAGTTAAAAGTCATTTCCTATGTACTTTCTCTGTGAACAGAACCTCATGAAATATGTGGTGAGGACAACTTCTCCAACGTCATATGGAAGATGACTCCAGCTGGCGACACAGCGGCAGTACGATGTCCTCCTAATGCCATGGGTGAGCTCCCACAATATATACATTTACAGATAAATACCATGCACACGACTCAAATCAAACCATTGGTACTTTTAGTAGTTGGATTAAAAAAAAAATCAGTTAATAAAGAACTCTTATTGCATGTGTCCCTATACAGGGCTAATCCTGCGCCGCTGCACCCTGGATGAAGAGGGTGTGGCCTACTGGGAGAATCCCACCTATATGAAGTGCATCTCCAATGACTATCGCAGCATTCAAACTCTGGTGAGAATCGAGTTCATCTCCTCGTTCAGTCCTTGATGTATTCCTTTTTTTAACGGATCAAATTCTACATTTGTTAATGGTAGCACAGTCTCCAGGAGGTGGGTGAGGGGTGTTGAAGTGCACCAGAGACTGGAGTTCACGTAAAGTCACATGGGTGGTAAGGTTTAGGCAACAAATGCAGTTTGAGAACACAGTTGTTGTGAACTCCATATCTCAAGACTGCTTTGATGGAATTTTCTCAAATTTGTGAAGAATATTCAGTTGGACTCAAGGATGAATTGGTTTGATTTTGGTGGTCAAATGTCAGTGTCACTGAGACCTCTGAAAACACATTTTTCCCTTGTGATTGTGCTATCTCAAAGATTTACTGAACGTTTTGGTGGTCAAAGGTTATAGTGTCCTCATAAAACACATTTTTGGCCTCTTGACTTCTATCTCAAGTCTGTCTTGTGGAAATTTCTTCAAATTTTGACCAGTTGTCACTAGGGCTCAAAGATGAACTGATTAGATTTCAGAGGTCAAAGTTAAGGTCATGGTGACCTGATATTAATTTAAAATAAAAAAGTATTTAGACAGAAACTGCGCTGGTTGGCAGAGGCATACAACTGCAGTGCAGTATTTCTAGTTCAGAGCTGTTATTTAAAATTATATAATCATCTTGCTTAAATAAATTCCATTTAATTTTGCTTTCTTTTCACCTTTCACCTGGTTCACTGGCTCAGCTTTATGAGACACTTATTCTGGAGACTATCATGTGAAGCCACAGTCTAGTTCTGTTCTTCCAATGTGTTATCTTTTCTTCTTATGTTTTCAAAACCATTTAGCACTACTTTGTACCATTTAAGTTTATTTACTAGTCTTGATCATGATGGAAAAATTCAGTGTTCTAAACCATTTGGCAACTTCCCAAATATGCAAATCAGTATTAACATATCATCATTATGATAATAGAAAATGCAATCTGGTTGGAATTATGATTTGTTGAAACAACACTTTGTAACCCAAGCTGTTACCATAAACAGAGATGTGTCAATTATAAATGGAAGTTAAGAGAAGATATTTTTCTTCCACTTCTCTCTTAGACACGGGAACATTTGTCCAAAGCGCAACGTGGCCTTGTGGGAGATGGAGTTTCTGATGTGATGACCAAGCTGAGAGTGACGTCCAGTGATGGGACTAGCTACAGCGGTGATCTGCTGGCCATCGTGGACGTGCTGAAGAATATGACAGAGATCTTCAGGAGGGCATACTACAGCCCCAGCAGTGCAGACATGAGGGTGAGTGGATATACTCTCTGGATTTACTGCAGTGTTCTGCTGTTTGAGGGTGTTATCTGCCCATACATGTCACCCAGTGCAACAGGGTGACTCACTGATGAGTTTTTTTATAGTTTCTGACAGCAACAGAGCTCATACAAAAAAGAAAAATAGGATATATAGAGCGTGGGATACACATGAAACTTGTTAGTTGGATTCATTTATTGATGCCGTGGGTCTTTTCATATCACAAGAAAGAAATGCATACTATAACCAGCTTTTTCCTGTAAATAACATAGAGTCTGACTTTAGCATGTAAAGATACTAATGTGACATTGTGTGTTTCTTCTTTTTTCAGAACTTTGTGCAGTCCGTCAGCAATCTGTTGATGGAAGAGAACAGGGAGAGATGGGAGGAAGCACAACTGGTTAGTGTCTTAAACCACATTCACACCATCGCGCCAACTGTAATCACATCTTTTGTCAGCGCATAATACTGATAATAATGAAAAATAATAAAAACAACCCTGAAGCTGTAGATACGATGAGTCATGTATTGGGATAAATACGCAGGTGGACAACCAGCCCACCTGTGTCTTTTCAGACTGACAGAGTTAGATAGGAAGGAGAGGTGCTGAAGGACAGAAATAGCGAGAGCTAATGAGTTACCAAGTCAGCGCAAACACCTACTCAACCATCTGCTGTACTTCTTACCATCCATCCAGCCGCTCCTCCTGTTCTCAGGAGTGTCAGCCGGCAGGCATCGCAATAACTTTAAATAAACCACCCTGGATTCATCATACTTATATAAAATAAAAAGTGAGACATTTGTTACCCGACCATGAAAGGATTAGCTGTTATTTATACAACAATTACTGTGGTATATAGGTGCCAAGGTATCATCATGCCAAGAACACTTACTTACTTATTATTAAGTTTATTTTGACTTAATTATTCATGACAAAAATGTCATAAATCTGATAAGTTCAGTCTTAAGACAGACTTGACAGCCCTGTTTTTCATTTTCAGTGTACCTGCAACATTTTGTTTCATTGAATGTGTATGTCCCAGATTTGTGAGCAGCCAGAGGTGTCCTTTTATTTACTCGATGGTAAAATCAATAGCAACTTGCTGTCACTCCAAGGTTGGGTGAGGGGATTTATCACAATGGACACCATGTTGGCTTTTAGAGAGAGAAAAAGTTATTTTAGAAAACTGCCAAAGTTTCACAGTATATTGAAGAATCAAATATGGAAGAGAAACCATGGTGGCACCAACAACTCCAGGTTTACCACATGGATATTAAAACAGTCAGTGGTCATCTAATAATAACACGTGTATGTTATTACACTTGTATGTTGAAAAACATGTTATGCACAACTGTGACACATTATAAACTGACATGATATGGGTGTATAGGTAACACCTGAGTTCAAGGCCCCAGTTTGATGATGAGCTCTGATTTAAACTTAATCCTCAGATTTCTACATTTGTCTTAGATTATATTGTTTTTCTATTTGGAACTTTACTAAATAAAATTGTGTTCAATGCATCCACAATGAAAAGAGACTGGGGAAACCCTAGGCCTCTTTAATGGGTATTAGGGTAAAGTGTAATCTGAGCAAATGGAGAATAATGTTAGAGTTAAAATGTAATTATATGGTGACAATAATCATAAAGAACAACAATAATATTACAATTAATAGTAATAGTAAAATAATAATAATACAGAAATTATGAGTTAGCTAGAAGCAGGCATGATGCTTCACTGTGATGGTTTTGGTATCTGACACAAGTGTTCAACACAATGTCATGGAAATCTGTTTGGTATTTCTTTTTTAAGTAAAGCTGATGACAGACAAACACAAGTGATGAAAACAAATCGCAGAGGAGGAAGTAAAAACGGCATATTCTTTGAAAAAAGGCACCTGCCACTAAAGTGAACAGAATCAATCAAAGGAATAATAAAAAGTTCTCATTGTAGTTGAACAAATTCACATTGGAGGAAGAACACCAGGCTTGACATGATTAGTTTCCAGAGAACATGTTATCCCATTTAAAATAACTGAGACCAAGAACCTGTAGAGTGCATCACTTCAAAACGTGTATTATGAGCGGGGGCAGCACTAAACCATTGAGGAGTAGTGGGAAAATATTCAGTTTTTCTTTTGTTTGCACAGCTGTTCAGAAAATTCACCAAATCCATAATCCCTTTCTTTCAGTCTACTTTCATGTGTCTCTGTTTTATCAGCTGGGACCGAACGTCAAAGAGCTGTTCCGTCTGGTTGAGGACTTTGTGGACGTCATCGGCCTGAGGATGAAAGACTTTCAAGACATGTATGAAGTCACTGATAACCTAGGTCAGTCTTATCTCTTTTCAAGACATCTCCACGGCTATCTCTGCTCATCAGAAAAACAAAACCCTGCTATCACAGCTTTTCTGTCTCTGAAGATTGAACTACAAAAGTAATACAAATGAAAAAGGGAGGGGCTGGGTGAGCTGATGGGTAAACAGACATTTCATGTGCTTTCAGTTTCAGTTTTAGATGCAGCGAGCATTGCTATTGTCAGAGTTTTATGTCTTCATGTTTTCACAATCATTGGTGTGTGCCAGTAGGTAAAAAGAATTTTAAAAAATTCAGCGCTGCTAACTGGAATTAAAAAAAAAAATGTTTCTCTATTATAAACTATAAAGACAAGATCAGAATAAATTATAAGACCTACATGAAGTAGTCACGGGCTACAATAAATACCAGATATGTGTTTATATATGAACATAAAATATGGATAAGATATTGCCCAAAGGCTAATTTTATTTAGAGAGTAGTCGGAATCGAAGCTGAAGAGGTGGAGATATCATGACCTTCAGTCCCCAGTGTGCATCAAATCCTACGCTGCCCTAGAAGTCAATAGCGTGCATCACCCCCTGCCTGGTTAAGACACATCTCTTTAGCTCCAAACCTCCAGTGTGTAATGCAAAATGAGTGTTAAACTTAAAGTCAACTGATGGAATCGGGAGAGGACTATTCTCTATTCTCACAAGCTATTTAGATCAGTTTAATTAATTTCATGTCAAGTTAACACAGTTTTGTTTTATGTGTTGTTTCGTTTTAATGTTTAAAATATACCGTTCAGTTAAAAGCAAACTACCTTAAGCACAAGATATGCAAGGAGTTTTGTATAAGGTTATCAGACCTTTTGATTTAATTACTTTATTTATACGGACACTGCACGATACTGAACGTGCCTGTAGACGTGTCAGTGTGAGTCAGTTAGATAATTTATAACAGTGCAGTCCTGTGACAAGATGTTCTAAAACCAATGGAGCGACAAATTAAGAAATCCAAACGTTGTGCGGGACGACAGAGTGTTGACACCAGCAGCAACAAAATCAGCAAGCACAAGACAAGAAGCAGGAAAACATTGATGCAACACTTAATAACCAATGACCATCTGCTGCTACATGAAGCCATGGGAAGCAGGTTACATGTAGTAACCACACAGAGCAATTACACATATTGTGTAAAATGTTAACAGCCAATACTGTTGATCTTGATACTTGAAACAGGCACATTTACATAATGTGTGAGTACCATAACTCTCTAATATGAGTAAACCATTAAACCAGCAAACATTAATATCTGTTATCAACCCATAAATGGAATATTGCTGAAGTTCTGATGAGACAAAAGAAGGGTAAGATGATGTTTCTTTTACAAAGTGACCTGCATGAAAGGAGGAGCAGGTTCAGAGACTTTACATAGGAAATCTTTTGTAAATGGATTTACACATGATTTATAACACCTACACATTCACAAATACCTGCACATTGTTTTGGTTTGGAGTCAGTCTGGGCATGAAGAATAATTCATCTGCAGATGTTCTTGTAGCATATTATCAAATGAACAACACCACATGCAAATGTTACCAGCATGTAGACATTTACTACAATGAGATCACTCAAAAACAGTGAAAGACAATTCAATCATTTACATATGTGCACAGAAGACAAATACCCCCTAAAGAGACATTTTTAAATATACAACATGAACAAATACAGAGTATTTAATGGACACAACATAATTACTATATATTTACTATGCTTTGTTTACCTTAGAAATGCAATAGATCATTTACATCTTATAGCTAATATGACTATAGCCTCACGTACAGTATCATTAATAATGATTACACCAACAAGCCCAGTCAAGTAAACAATGGGGGGGGGGTTGGGGTTGCCAACCATCCTCTCTATTGACAAATTTGGAATAATAATGTATTGATGCATAATCTCTCTTTCTGCTGCATTCTGTTTCTGTTCCCTTGTATTTCCATCAACAGAACAACCCTTGGTGAATATTCTCATCCTCCGGGGCAGAGGGTCTTTAGATGTGTCTCGTGGGATTCTAAATCCACATTCAAAACAACTTACTGCCTCCCTCCACTGCCTAGGATCTGTTAATGCTGTGTTTTTCCTCAAACAGGGGAAACTAATGTATCGTAGTCATCAAAGCGCCTCTGCTGCTGTCTATGACCTCCAGATAAAAACGAGGCAGAGTTTGAGTTGAGTCAACAGAGAATATGTGGGAATTGAGGCCAGATGAGAGGTCCTGTTTATAGCTCTGCCACCTCGCTGTCTGGTGCCAAATAGCCGCCCACACCAGCAGCATACCTCCTCTGGCATAGCTGACCTCCTCGCTCCTCCCACACCTCAAACATAAGCAGAGCCACGCACAGAAACGTTCAACTATTTGCCAACATATAGTCTGATCATAGTTTCTTCCTCCAAACTCATCAAATAGTAAAGTTATATAGGAGGTGGGAAATCACCCGAACTGAACTCTAACTGCGAAGTGGACAGAAAGAAAGAACCATTATTATTCCCACATTGGGGACGTAATGTTAGTTATTGTAAAAATAAGAAGCAATAGTCCTAAAGTAATACATTGGAAAATATGCAATATAAATATAAGGAAATATAAAAGCACTAATAAATATAGATTGTGTTTGCAAAGACAACATTACTGAAACTGCACTGATAATGGATGTAGTGCACAGTTAGAAAGAAAAGAAACTTTAAACTCTGTATGGGTGTATGGTCTCCTGAAGCACAAAGGCAACAGTGAGGGCTTCAAAATGAGCCCTGCGTCATTGCCTGACTTTGAGGTCCTGTGTTAAAGAGCTTTCAGACCTTTATTATTTCAGTTTTGCACACATAGTTTGCATATTCGTGTTAAGTCCCACTTCTGTTCAAGGTTAATAGGGGCCCAGCAGCTCATCTTTGCAGCGGGGTCCCTAGTAGGTTAATTTGAGCATGCTGACATTATACGAGGTACACATTTTCAATGAAAGTATGCTACACTGCTTTTTGCAACATCTGTAGCTGTTTTACTTGGTAGGTTGTTTTCCACATGAGTTTATATAAAGGACTATAGGTCAAGTATATTCAGGTTCAGACACATTGAATGAGGCCAAAATCACAAATGTGTTCCTCAGGGCTTTTGGCACCCATCCTCATTTTAGAGAAGGCATAAATGAACAATATACTTGGTAACAGATCTTAATATCTAACCCTCACTCGTATTGAGCAGATCATTTACATAAGATGGGGCTGAATATAAAAAAAGCTAGCCTGCGTGTCTAAATTTGGCACATTTACATGTTAGAGTTACATATGCATATTTATGTTAATGTGCATTGCAGCTTTTAAGTAAATACATATAACATGATCATTACATACACTAAACAAGTGCTTTATAAGGTACGCCATACTAATCCTACTATTGTGTGTTGAAGAGCCTTTTCTCTGCAAACAGCCTCAGCTCTTGTTGGAAACATTCCTGCTCCATGTTCACAGGACTGCATCACATCCTTGCTGCACATTTGTCAGCTGCATATTTCACGCTGCCTATTTCCCCCTCCACTACATCCCAAAGACATTCTACCGGATTCAGATCTCCAGCATGTGTCATTTCACGTTCGTCCATATTTACACCATCAGGCGCTATTTCGAGTTCATGAGAGCGCTCACACAAAACGGAGGATCCACCTACCTATTTGTAAAATTGTGGAAATGGTGGCTGAGGACACCGAAGCTGCTGCAGTGGTGAACCCTATACTGTACTCTAAATTTCATTAAGAAGTATTTTTCTTTGCATCTAATGACACAATGGTTAAATGTTAGCCATCTGTGTATTTATTGGGCTAAATGAACAGTCTGGAATGATTTGGTACCACGGACAATAGGGTGATTCTTAGCTAGCAAGCCTGCACTGATTGTGCTTTCCAATACGTGAACAACGGGTGAGTTAGAGGCCAATCAAGAATCCAGTGAAAGGGGACATTGATATATTCAAGGAACTCACTGTCATACTCATGAAACTAGAGCAGTAGCCATTTGAAAATGGTAAACTGTGGCTATAAAGTGATGAACATGATCAGCAACCAGATAGACGGTGACATTCATCCAAACCATGATTGTTTGAAGGGGTCCAAAGCATGGAAAGAAAAAATGGCCCCCTCCCCTCCTATTACACCAACACCACCAGCCCGGTCTGTTGCTGGCAGTGCTGGCTCCATGGATTCATGCTGTTGATGCCACATTCTGACCCCACCATCTGCAGCCAGAGCAGAGATCCAGTCTTCATCTGCCCAGTGTTAGTGAGCCTGTGGCCACTGCAGCCTCAGACTCCTCAGAAACACTCAAACCAGCCTCTGTGGCAGCCACAGTCAAAGATCACTACTTTTGTCCTTCTGATGATTATTTCATTCGAAACTTTTATTGCAGCAGCAGAACATAGTCAGAGTTTGGTGTCTCGGCTCCAACTTCATCACTTCCCCAGTCAAGACGACATCAATATCATTTGGAGTGATGAGCAAGTATCATGAACCCCACTACAGGTGGATGCTGGGGTGGTGGAGGAGGTGGATCAACAGGAAGCAATACAAACGCAGGGCAGCAGAGGCATTGACAAGCAAGATGGGAAATCTTTGCAGCTTAAATAGGTCATTGCTGTGTATTACAGAGTGTTCTGGAGAGTGAGCCAGCCTGAACTCGCTTGGTAGCATCGCTCCATTAACTGAACACCTGTATGAGTTTTTGCACTGCTGGTAATTTGCATGAGTAGTTGCATATTTACAGGTATTACTAATAAAGTAATGTTGTAAGAGTCTCTGTTGTTTTCTGTTGCAGTTTTGAGCATCCACAAGCGTCCAGTGGCGGGTCATGCAGACATCAGCTTCCCCATGAAGGGCTGGAGGGGCATGGTGGACTGGGCCCGCAGCTCTGAGGACAGAGTCACCATCTCCAAAAACATCCTGTCCACTGGAAAGCCAGGTGAGAGCTGTAATAATAATCAGGGCTGCAGCACAGTAGAGGATAATCAGGCTGATTATCAAACATATTATTTACCATAATGGGCTCAGACAGAAACATGCAGTAGCCAATGAAATTGAGCTGACCGGTAGGCGTAACTAACCAAATGTTTAAGATTAAAAAAACATTACATTTCCAACACACCTCAAGCTTGTGCAGCAATTTGTTTGAGCCAACTCTATCTTCTTAGCCTTGATTTCATTCTCAGTTTTGTTCGTTTTGTTGTTTTATGCTGCAAAACAGAACACAGGACGTCTGTTTATTGTCTGTTTCGACACTCCAGTTCAGTAGGTGGCAGTATTGCACCGAAAGGTTGTTTGTCATCTAGGAAGAAGAAGAACCACAAAAGTTTCTGTGATATCACAAGTCTCTGGAATCCCCACTGTGAAATTGTTTCCTACAAACAGCAAGTGTGTGGTCTGTGTGTGAGTGTGTGAGTGTGTGTGTGTGTGTGTGTGTGTTAAAAGTCCTATAGTTTGCACCAGTCCTAAGAATACAACAATGTTTCTGCAAAGCAACGCAACCGGCTAAGACAAGCTCACACAGAGATGATTTAATCCAATGTTGCAAATAAAACATGCAGGAAAACGAAATGATTTTATGTCACCCGCTGTTCAGCAGCTGTACAACAAGAGAAACACGTTGTCTTCAATAAGGCCAGAATAAGTTTCATGAAATGTTAATACAAAGCCCATCTGCCATAACAACTTGATGGCCCTGAATCCCAAACAGGAGCATTTACATACATATTTGTTTATAGCCATGAGGAATTATACAACTCTGCAGTCCTAGATTAAACAATGATAAAAGAGCCACAATGTGCTTGTGAAAATGTAAATGTGAGGATTTTCTGCTTTCCTGAATTTCACCACATTGTTAATTGAGGCTAAATAACCCTAATTACTTTCTGCCTTTAGTCACATCTGATTAGCACTTCTCTTTATTTTCAAGATTTAAGACTGAGTCATTGATTAATTAATTATCACTGAACATTACAATGCAGCGTTGTTAAACTCAAGGTGTCTTCTCTAGTCCATTCTCACTTCTTTGAGCACTGCACTCAAATACCATATGTATTCATTTGCACTGGAGTGATGGCTGAAATCTCAGAGATCTATCTGAAAAGCCACGCTACACATCAGTGGAGCCGACAAAGTAGCTTTTGTGCTGTGGTTGTTCCCAGAAGAGAACTGATAATACCGGGCAGCTCTGTTCAAATGACAGCAGTGTTATATGAGTGGAGGCTCGACTGTGGAGGCTGGTGGCTCGGTGTGTAATGACTTAATGAATTTACTGATGGAGACATAGGGTTCATTGCTATATTTTATTATAGCTGCTTTCAGACATGCGCTGAACTCCTGATAGTCTCCTGACATTCTCCCACAAATGACCGGGTGAGAGGCTCGCTCCGGACTCTCTCCGGAGTTTCTCCTGCCAGTCCCCAAGTAAAAACCCTGGAGATTGTCGGAATGAGCTGGTGTCACAGCACAGTAGGAGATCCTCCGCAGGATTCACCACAAGTGAAAAAACCGTGCCATACATGTAGGAGACACAGACAAAGAGAAATTGAGGTGAGAAGCGCTGTAGATGTGCTGTCAACAAATACATGATATCTGCGGTGGAATTTATACAAAATGTTCTCCCTCCTTTCTGTGTTGTTGTGAATGTGTCTGAGGTGGAAAAAATTCATGTCTGAAAATGGCTGATTAGTGCTGTAGTTGCCTTATATTTTAGTTGCCATTTGTCAGTAATGTTGAGTACATGGTAAACATCTTCATTGTCATGGATTAGGAGGCAAGCCTGTGCATCAAAGGTGAAAAACGGCACCAGCCGAGCTCCACTGTCTGCAGGCAGGTGCTACGACCACAGTTCTTCAGTAGCAGTGGGGTTATTTGTCAGCCGGAATGTTTTCCTCCATTAAAGATGGCCGTGTACTGCTCGCATGCTAATGAGGCTGTCACTCCTAATCAGGAGTCAACAGGAGCCAATCAGGAGCAATTAGAAACAATTTCCTCCCCAGCTGGGAGATGGGTCTCCACGGTGGTAATGTCACACCAGCAGCCAGCCCTCTTTATGCACACAGCCTGGACCTGCTCACACAGATTAAAAAGGCTCTGTGATGTCTTGTTTACATGATGGATCGGCCTTTTTTCACATCTCTGCAAATGTTCTGAAATAAGCCGTTTCTTTAGAATGAAAAATAGAAGTGGTAGCCTCCATAAGAAGAGGCGCAATGTATTTCCTGCAGTAATAAATCAGGGTTGTGTACAAGCAGAATTTGATTTGCTTCCACTGCAAACATGCAAACAACAGCAATCACCTATAATTATTGGTAATATAGCAATAAAAAATCCAAAACTTCTAACAAATATCAGCCCCTTAACTACAGACCAGGCACGCTTGACCATGCTTACTGACCCTTTTCAAAGTAATTTGTTATTATGACATCATCATTAGATTACTTGCTTGAGAGCAGAATAACACCACACGCAGGTACCAACTCACATCTGTTTCTTGTCTTACGTGTATCTATCATGAACTAAAATGTCGTATAAAGCTATTTTCACTGATTTATTCAGTTGTCATATCTGCAGTCAGTGTGTATTCATCCACAGCCAAGGTACCATCTGTACAGATATAGGCTAAAGCTTGCTAGCAATCTAAAGCTGACCCATTTCAAGGGCCGCATCCTTCAGAGGCTGCATTTGAAGACTGGTTTCACAGCAGTGCAACTAAATGTGGCTGACAACTGTGTCCTTTGTCAATTATCGAGCAACAAATGATCCTGTGGGAAGATTGTTCTCAGGACAACCTATCCCAGAATTCATTGTGTAACCGTGACAATGCGAGCAGTGGGCAGCAGAGCTGCACTAAGTGCAGCAGCTCAAAGTAGCTAAAGATGCAACAGTATGGGTGGGATGCTGGTGATGAAAACAGATAATCCTCCGTACATGAGAACATCTTTGGCCTTTGCAGTCTCTAAAGACTGGATGTGAATGATGCAGCCCCTGAGCTAGGACACAGCTTCTGTGTGTTTTAGGCTCAGACTGAGTGATCTGAGAACTCATCAAAATCTTTAGTTCTTACTTTGCTCCAGGAAATTTTAACTAAATTTGAGCTAATGTGCACCCACATTTAACTAATGCTGCTGTGTAGCTAACATTATCTATTATATATAATAAGACGGTAGCCTCACTAGTATTGTTAATACGATAAAAATGTGTTTTTTCTTTTGAATGCCTCTAAACATCTGGCTCACCCAGATGTTGCATTACATTGTGTGCTAGCAAATGACAACGAATGTCCCTTCAAATGAACAGAAAACATAATCTCACATATTTTAAGTAATAGTACAAGTAAAATGAAATTAGAAACAATGGGATATTTTCTTTCCATTTTTAGCTTTAACAAAATACAGCAAAGCTTTGTGTGCAGGAACAGAATGAAAACCGACAAAGCAGAGATGGAAGTTAAATGTGTATGATGTTTGCTCCACTCTTAATGTGTGCTTCTGTTAAGAGGTAATGGAGTAATATTCCGTAAGCGCAAGTGCACACTCACTGCTAAAGTGAGTTTTCTAGTCCACTTGCTCCCACTGCTTGAAAAGAGCTCTCAATGTGCACACAATGCGCGTAGAGTGCATGGACAGACGCAGGAATTAGACTGAGCCATAATGTGTTCGGAGTTCACGCTTGTGTGTTTTCATTAACTTTTGAAGCAAAGTGAATAGGGAAATCTTCTGAAATCTTTATATTAATCCTCACACTCCAACATATGCAAACAAATCATCAGCACATACATCACAAATACAAATCTATAAAGATGGTTACTTGGCCACAAACGGTTTCAGCTCTCGCACACGGACATAAGTTATTGAGTCACTGGTTAAAGTCCCTGCAGGCTACTGTGATTGGGTACAGACTGAATCTGGCTGAGCATATTGGATGGGCCAGCCAAAGGGTTGATGAACAGGATACATAATACTTCATCTTCCTCACACACACATACACACATACACACATGTCTTCCTTGGTTGCCCCCCAATGCCCATGGGAGCTCAGCTGTTGCCTGGGAGCTACAGCCTCTGCCTGCTGCCTGGCACACTGCTGCATACTCTCAGGCGGCCATGTGGTGTGCTGGAGCAGAAGAGCTGGATGTCTTCAGATGGCCCGGCAGATGGGTTTCTTTTTTTTTTGCCTTTGACACTGCAGCCCGAAAAGAGAAGGCTTCTCCTCGCCCCAGGCCTGCATGTGCCCCGATCTATTCCAGCAGTCAAATATTGTCAAATGTCTTCACATACTGGCACATTGTTATCCCCTGACTGCAGCAGGATGGCTGAAGTCACATGAATGGATCAGTACCATCCAATAGATTTCCTACTCTAAGTAACGTACGTTTTATGATTGGCTTATCATCGCTTCAGTGGATGGCTTCCAAACTGGGTCAATGTGTGTGAGCTCAGGTGTCACTCAGGTAACCATGGCAGCCTCATCGTTAGCTGACCCGAGGGTAAGGCCCCTGGGCAAATACTGCAAACTTACAATGCTGAGTTACTCAATGTCAGCACATCGTTGAGTCAGACAGTGCTGGAGAACTACCTCTACACTGTGTCAACTGCACGTCTCCAAAGGTCCAACATGTAGGGACGATGTTTACTGAGTTGCAGTTTCAATTCCATCCAGAGCAGTTTATTTGTATTTCACTGAATTTCTTGTTGCCTTTTACGTCTTTGGGGACGACTGATCTTTCCTGCAGTGACACCATGCATGAGTACACACAACCACAAGGGTTTCACAGAAAATTATGCACTCACAAACTTGACATTTTGCCACACATAACAAAGAATGCAGATTATATAGTGAATTACAATAACAACTATGTGAGCACAGAAAAAAATCGTCAGCTCCCAACTTAACTCATCATAACTTGGTTTTGTCCACATCCATAAAACTCACCAACACTCTTCTGGAGTCATGTTTTTCCTACTCTTCAGTTGTAATCTCTATAGCTGTCTAAAAACATCTACATTGTTCAGTCCTCTCTGTCCTGCAGTTATTACAGACATTGATTTGCCTTGTCAGGAAGCAATGTCCAGCCCACAACTGTCAAGGGATTATTGGAAATTATGTTTGTCATTTTTTAATATATAGGACAAGGTGGAGAATCTCCCTGCTTTAACCATAAATGTTGAATCAACACTAATATTAGTGTTTTTTCTAGAGCTTTTTCTGAGATTTTGGGAAAAGCTCTGATCCAAGGCTTTATCTCAAGCAGACTGATTATTAATCTTGGCATATTTACAAAAGAGAGGGCTTTTAAATGAGGGCTTCTTACGCCAAGAATATAATTTATTGGTTTATTTTGTCTCTATATGGACGGAAACCCTATGATGTTTGGCTACGTTGATACAAATATGATTTCAAAGAGAAATGGGACTGAGACCTGTGCTTCCTAAATGCACTTACTGTTTCCACTGGCAACCACTGGTGATGCACCATCAACAAAACTGTCAAAAAGTCATTAGGATTTTACATTTACCAAGGTTAATAAGGGGCATTTTAGGAAATTTGGGGTTTAATTAAGTAAGATTGATTAATCAACCAGACAAACACACAGGGTAATTATATATATACAAATAGTGTGATATAGCCATTAGTATCAGGGCTTGCACGACAAGATACAAAATCATTTTTTAGGAGGATGTTGGACTATAGTTTGACGAGCACTTCAGTGTAGATGCTCAGACACTTTTCAGCCAAGCTCTTGTTTCTTTACTGCTTCACTGCCGAAGTGAAATTTTGTCAACATTGCTTTTTTTCCCAGGGTGAGGACAGTGTCAGGCTCTGCTGCCTCGATCTGACATTATTATGGAAATTAGCAGTGTCATATCAGATAGAAAAAGATAAACAATGCTGTGTGTATGCATGGATGGTTATAGTGTGTGTGTGTGTGTATGTGTTCAGAAAGCAAGTCTCTGCTTTTAACTTTTGATATCTGTCTGTGTTACTGTCAGTGTGTGCCTGAATGAAGTCATGAGTGTGTGGTTGTGTGTGTGTGACTATAAAGCAGTGTGAGAGACAGTGTTTATAGCTGACTAGTCATGTAGGCCAACTCCAGTGTAAAGAGCTCTGTAGCTCTAGGGGCGGGAGGAGTGGAGGCAGCATGGCTGACCTGCATTCTCCTGTGTAGCAGGCCTGCTCTACTAACAGACACCGAACCATTCAGTCTCCACACACACTCCTGTCTTTCCTGACTTTGACCTCTGTGCTCAGCGTGTGTACCTCTGTTTCTTCTATTCTGCAGATTCAGACGACTCCTCAACATTTGTAACCGGCATCGTTCTGTACAGAAACCTGGGCAGTATTCTGACTCTGCAGAGGTAAGACTGCTGACTGCTTTGCAACCTCAACTGAATGATTGATTGTGAACCCCAGTAACAGACTGGGAATTTGATAATAGAGCTCACATGAATGTAACCAGACTATTAGTCATAGTAAAGGAATATTTTAGATACATCTAATAGAGTGGATTCAACATTTTGTTGCTAATCAGTAGAATACAAGAAGTCATTTGTAAAATTAAGGAATATTGCAAAATGTACTTAATTGTACATCTTAAGTAAAAGACAACCGTAGAGTCTTAACAGCCTTTATGGAGCTTTCAGCTGAACTTCATGGTCTTCAGTGTACACTCCTACAGAGTGGATCTTGATTTACGGTCATTGCAGCATTTTTACGTCAGTGGTCACTTGAATGAACACTTGCCAGATCTGTAGGGGGCTGTGCAGCATGGTATGGTCCAATTAATTTAGTTTTACAATCTCAATATGTCCTAATGGTGTTCGCCATGTTAGCTGCTGTGCGCTATGGATGTTGTTCAGTCCACCAATTTTGTAGAACATTAATTTGAGTACCATGAAATACGCTTGTGTAAGGGTCAGCAGTGTATGTCAGTTTTAATTGCACGTTGATAGGAGTAGCATGCAAATAATAGGAGACATGTGAATGGGATGATTTTACTAAGGTCAAGCTATTTGCAAGGAAATTTGTGCACCTCTGAAATGGAGGCATTAACAGAAGTTAATAGGCAGAAATAAATTTACACTAAGTATTATATTTGTGTTTTATGTAACTGTTATTGAACACAGTATGTGATTGTGGTGTGTGAAATCATTACAGTGCACATCTAGGTGAAAGCATTTACCTCAAGATAAACATCCATGTCAACACCTGCTCTGTCCCTCCCAGTCTGTCTCTGTCTCGCTCTCTCTCTGGAGTGACCTATGACCTGTCCTTCAGAGGAGGGTTCCGTACCACGTGCAGTCCAGGAGCTGACTGTGTAATGAGCCTGATTCAGATGCTGAACTCATGCAGATTCCTCTCACAAACTCAGCTCCATCGTATTGTTTATGTGCCATGATTGAGAACAAGTAGGTACTGAAAGACTTGAGAGGCAGACAGGTAGAGACAGACAAGAAGAGGCAGACAGGTAGAGACAGACAAGAAGAGGCAGACAGGTAGAGACAGACAAGAAGAGGCAGACAGGTAGAGACAGACAAGTAGAGACTTGGACTTGAGAATGAACGGATTTTGGTGGTCAAAAGTAAAATAACAAGATCACTGTGACCTCCCAAAACACATGGTTTGCCTTTCAAATGTAAAATCTTAAGAAAGTGTAAAGAGAATTTCTTAGTTTAATCATTGTTCACTTGGAGTCAAAGATAAAGTGATTAGATTTCAGTGGTTGAAGGTCAAAGGTCACAGTGACTTTCAACCACTGAAATCTGACCTTTGACAGAACCTGCACTGGTTGGCGTTGAAATGTTAATTCATAAACTCAACGAAACCAACCATACTGTCCAATAGATTATAATTAACCTTAGAACTGCTCCTCAAGGTGTACAATCCCACATTGTATGCTGCTAAAGGAAGAAACTAAGGGAAAGAAAAGACTGAATAAGACAAAGATAGAATAAAAAAAAGGATTGATGAGGTTCAATTCATTATTGTTTCAAGTTAATGTATCCATTGCTAGTTTGGAAAACTACCATAAGACCATGGACATGATTGGAAGAAACCCAAAGTTCTACTTTTGCAAGAAAAAGATTCACAATCCAGAAAAATTCTCAGAAAATGACCATCAGCTGAATTTAGTCAGTTAAATCAGCAACGAGATTGGTAAAAGGTTTCTAATGATGTTTTTTTTGGCTACACTTCCTCTTGTTGGAGTAAAAGGCAAACCAGGATGTACAAAGACTAACAGTTTGAAATTATTCCAAATTACTCCAATAAGAACAACTTTTGTGATATTTAAAGGACAAAAACATCAGAGAAGTTGAAGGAGTTTGAGCCACATAGACGCACAGTTGACAACAATGATTATGCAACATTGCAACATTTCCAAATCCTTTTAACAAACCAGCTTCACATTAAAATGTTGGAACTTGTTGCTGAAAGAGTTGAACCGTGCGTCAGGATCTAGCACACAGGGGTTTGTTAATGGATCATCACGGCACAGTCTGGGCATTTTACATCAGTGCTGGAGAGAATGTTTACGAATAAAAGGAAACAAGGACTAGATGCAGAAACAGCAGCACTGTTGCAGTGGGTGGCCCCATGTATGTCTTTTATCTCCATGAGTAAAGGAATTCCTTCGCACAACTTGCTGCTGCTGCTCGCCTGATGATCAACATATGTTTCAACACAGCAGTGTACGTGCAGCCCTGTGTAATTAAATATATTTATGTTCATATGAGTGTGTGTATACAGAATGCATGCAGGCTGCTGTGAGAAACAGTCTGTTATCCATGGCTGTGGTAAGAGGCTGTGTTATGATAATGTTGTTAAAGCACATAATGAAGTGGTAGCATATGGGAACAGGGAAATGAAGCAGAGGTTCTCTCTCTCTCTCCTCCCACTTAGTTCAGAATTTCTTGATTGCTGCCGCTCTCTTTCTTCAGTTATTTTTTTTTTTTTTGGTTTTCTTTTTCCCTTACATCCTTGTCTCCTCTGTGTTTCTGCATTTGAGGCCCGTCTCAAGGAAAATGAGATGAGTTTGAGGCAAGAGACTAGATGACACAACGGTTTAAGTTGACTGATTGTGTTTTGGAATTGTGAGGATGTGATTGTGAATAGAGGATATGGTGATGATGAGAGGAGCTGGAAAACGGAGCATGGGCTGTTGAACATGTTTGGCTGACTGGAAGCTTTCGGTGTCAGTACTTTCACTAGCAATTCACTTTTTACTGATTGTCTCATTCCACATGATTGATAGTACCTATAAAAAGCAGAAATTGCAATACATACTAAGCAGCAAGGACGAATGTAAAATAAAAATGCCCATAAATGGTAAAAGATATAGGTATTGAAGAAAAATATGGACCACTTCAGAAAAATCCTGAGGCTCTTTGGGGTTCACTTAGCAGTTAGGATTATATGAATGTTTGCTCTGATTCTGGCAACAAGACATGGCTGAGTCAGCAACTGTTACATCTTTTGCCTTGCAATGATGGCTTATGTGGTTTTGATCCCACCAGACACAACATAGCTTTTCACTGTTCAAAGTGGATTTGATGAAATGCTTTAGAAAAGGTCACACAGCTGCCACACAATACTAAACTACAAAATGTCCAAAATGTCAACCCGCCTTTTAAAATCTTATGGGACCTGTTGCCTTTGATAGTATTTCTATGGGTGTTCACTCAGGGTATTCCTCTGCCCAATATTAGGAATTAATTTGCAATTTTGGACCACATGGTCCACCATTTTGGTTCTCCAGTTGTGGCGCACAGTTTGTGGATGAATTGCGATTTTCCTGTAGTGGAACCATGAAATTGAAGTTTGGTTTTGACTGAAATGGCTTCATGACTATTGCATTGATTGGGATGGAATTTGTAAGAGCCAGTCATGGTGCCCAAAGGATGAGTCACAGCAACACATTTGGTGATTTCTGACATTTCATCCAGCACCACAACCAAATCAAACATTTTACTTATGCTGTAAAATACCTCAATCAAAGTAAATGGATGATGCATCCTCATTATGTATTTGAACCTCCTGTGCCTCCATGAGGTTGACAGTATTTACTTAGAATGAAATGTTCAGCTATTAGCAACTTGAAAAATGACACTGAGATCCCCCAAGACGGGATCATAATAATATTGTTGATTCTACATGTGGAGCACACATTCACAGTTGTATTTTGTCTCCATCATCAGTTTAAAATTAAAATCATCATTCAAAACTTTGGAATATTGTTCATCAGCAAACTAAGGTGAATTTTGCAATAGATTTACCTTCTGAATATGAACACGGTTGCAATGGGCTTGTGGGCTGATGTTTATTGTGAGCATATAACTCACAGCTCCAGGCAATGTGGTACAGGAAATACAACACAAGATCTGCTAGATTCATAATAGTCGTCAAAACAAAGTTATAAAGCACTTTACATGGTTTTCAACAGAATTAAGAAACAAAACCAAAACAATTTCATGAATTACAACAATAAACCAAGCACTAAACATATTAGCAAAATAAACTATTAAAAAAACATGGTACTGTTACTGATTCTACAATTTCTTGGACAGGGAGCTTCAGAGCTGAGGGAGCCAAGGGGTTTTGACTGCAAAAGTCTGGTCATCTTAAGTCAGACAGAGCAGAGGCAGTGCTGTGGTATATTCAAGCGAAATAAGTCAGCAGTATAACTGGAGCAAAATCCATTAAGTGCTTTTAGAGGGAGTCAGTAAAGCATATGGAAATCGGGGTGAAATTATATTTTCTTCTTGCATTTGTTAAAAGCAAAAGAGGTGTGTTTTGTTCAAGCTGAAGGCATACGTTTGTTTTTTGACTCAACTTTGGATTAATGTGTGTGAAGACCTGATCTTTGAGATGCTCCTCAGTTGATTTAAAAACATGTCTCAGTGACTTCTGGAACTTGTGTTCCAAACACGGAGCCACTGTCAAATATCACAGACAGATTTCAGGTCGCAGTTTTTGCATTTGCAGACAGGGAGTCAGAATCTTTTTGTAAAATGTGTTCTTACTTAAGAAGACCAAACTGATGTTCCTGCTTCTTTCTTTGGTATCCATGGTATTAAATTGTATGTGTAGTATACGGTATGTGACTGCAGGAACATATACAGAGCAGGGCCGAGACTAGACCACAACATAAATGCCCTGTTGAAAGTATTATGTGAGCCTGTCGATATGGATAGAATGAGCATCTGTGTCGAGAGCAGAGCTGAGATTGAGAAGAATTATACAGTAAAAGTTCATGAGGAACTTTTTTTGGGCAGTTCCAGTGCCATGATGTTAGTGGAAATCTGATGAAAAATTGTGTAAGATTTAATGACCATTCATAAAACTCGACTGGAATCCTCTAAAACATTTGATAAAATGGTCATTTGGAGATGGGTCAAAAGCAATTAAATTCAAGGGTGAAGGCAACTTTTTGGGTGGTTTGTTACAGGGATGCTGAATAAATATTAGGACCTGCCATCTTTTACTGCTTCATGATATGTGGAACAGTCTTTCTTTTTCTGTTTATGTTCTGCTTGTCTGCATTGTCTCTTTATTTCTCTGGTGTTATTTAGACAAGGCATGCTATGATTCCATTTAACTCTCCTAGTTTCTGTCACTATATTTTCACGTTTTCATCCAGTAGCTTGTCTGTAGACAATTGTGCTTTTTTTATTGTAATTTGAAGATGCACTTGTGAAGGCATTGCAAAAGTAGCCAATAGAGTTGGTATGAAGGATGTGAGAGGAAGTGGACAAAGTGGCAGCAAGAGACTAAAACAGAGCCTTACAAATGAAAACGTGGTCAGAAACATACAAGATATCCTCAATGATATCAGCACTATTACTTATATTACTTTAAAAAAATCATAGTCATAGTGTGTGAGCTAGTTGAGCAACATTTCACATTGTATACAACATCCACAGTAGAGACGAAAGGCAGCAATAGACGTACATATTTTAACTTCACTTTATCAAACCCTAAAAAAGTTAAATGGTTATTTAAGTGCAGAGAGGTCCCAAAGAGCATATTTCTAACATTATTTCTGTGAAATCACTCACACAACCCACAAGTATAAGTGTAGAATAGTGGTAAGAATAACTGAAACTGGGAGGACATTATTAACATTAACAACACAGTCATGTCTCAGTATCCAAAAGATTTGATATTATAAAGTCATTTTTGTCGGGAGTCCTGATATTTAATAAACTTAATGTATATGTACATATATATATATATATATATATATATGTACATATATATGAGTTGGAAGACTGGAAGAAAACATGACTGGAGAGACGGGAGACTGAAATGGTGACAATGACGTCATGACTGAAGATGGTTTGTGATGTTGTCCCTAATCATATTGGGTTTAAAAAAATGTAAGATCTGAATTTGGTGGTCAAAGGTCAACAACACTGTTCACAAAACTAGGACAACCCATAACTAAATAATTAATAATAAATTATGTCATTTTAACATTGAAAATTTGGATGTTATAGACTTCTTGACTGGTAGTCTACATAACCAAGAGTCCAGAATATATATTGGGCTGAAAGTCTGGGCAAGACAGAAGAATGTTGAGTTTGAACATGTGTGTGTGAACAAAACTGTTCCCAATGAAGCTGAAACATCACTGATTCACAACAGCACTCACAGAGGTATACTTTGTGATGAGAGCAGGTTGATTCCTATCGGCTTAAGTTAAGCAGGTGGAGCAGGTAGAGTAGTGCAACATCGAACCCCTGGTTGTTGCTGACTTGCTGGGGTGTGGGCTCCCTGAGATGATAGACAATAGATACAATCTATAGTATTTAGCCTGGAGATGGTGGAATCACAGGCGGCTGCATCTTCACTAGAGAGGAACATCCAGCACAGGTGGCAATGCGTCAACCAGCCCAGCAAGCACCTGGTAGTCCTTGCATGGCAGCCAGTCCTCGTCGTGCAAGGATTGATGGTTGCTTGCTGGGCTGGTTAAAGAGTAATGACTGACAAAATAAAGAGTAATCAGTGATTCTTACCAGCAGTGTTTAATCAATAGGATGTGTTTTTGATGGCCTTTTCTACACTGGATCTCTTTATAGTCATCTGAATTCAGCAAGTGACTTTTCTATTTGCAGTCCCTAGTCAAACCACAGGATAGATCCTTTGTTTAAAAATCTACAGTTTTGCAAAATAATCTGAAAAATGAACCTATTATGTAATAACTCACTTACTAACATTTCTTTACCTGACTGCCAGCAATTTTCCACATTCCAACATGTATGTTTTCTGAGTTTCAAGTGGATGACAGTTCTGAATATGACTTTCCAAGACCGCCATGACCTCTAATACTCCCACTCAGAAGATAGAATCTTTCTGATCCCACCATGTTTCCAGTTGTGCTGCTGGTGCACCAGACACACAACTGACCTTGAAAATAACAAAGTGCACTTGGTACACTGCATTTGACTACACTCTGTGCCCTTGGCTTCAGGTTTTTATAGATCCCTTATAGGACATGTTACAATGCTGAGGTTTCTCTTCTTCATTTCTAGGAACAGCACAGTCCTCAACTCCAAGGTTTTGTCAGTGACTATCAAGCCCACGCCTGCTTCCCTCTCTGCTCCGGTAGTTGTCGAATTCTCTCACCTGTACAACGTGAGTGACTGATAAAACTTTGTATTTAAGCTTATGTGATGTGATGCTCCACCACTGGATTGTACTATTCGATGGTGACCATTAGTTTTTCTCGATTATCCATCTTTTAGGGGACCACCAACCAGACCTGTATTTCCTGGGACGAGAGCGACAGGTAAGATCCGCGATATTCTTGATTTGACATCTGACGATGCACTCACCCTAACTTGCTAATATGGCAAACTGGATTGTTATGACTCTTCAAAAATGTATCCATGATACCATTAATTGTAATGATTGTGATGGAAAATGTGCAGTCCAGCATTTTCTGAGTTTGCCCCAAATCTCTAATGGAGGAGCAGTACACAGCCCATTACTGGTGCCAGTGACTCATAAATAGCTACATCACCACCATCCATCCATCAGTCCAAAACCTCAGCCCAAACCAATATACTGTAAAAAACTGCTGGTTTTAAGAAAAGTGCATCCATCCTTCCCAGAGGAGGAAACTTAATAAATGTAGTTACTCCATCATTGAATCTTCTAATACCACTAAGGTCCCACTTGTACTCAGGGAATATCAAAGTTTAAGTGGCAGATTGCCATGAATGTGCTCTCCTGCTCCTCAGATGACCCAGAAGACAAATACTTCCCACAGTCTATTTTTTAAACAAACATTAACTTGAACATTTTATCCCGTCTAGTGGTTAATGTCTCAGCCAATGCTGAAATATTGCAAACCAGTTTTCAAGCTTGGCTGAGGTGCAAAAGTTGTGGAAAGTCTAATGGAAATGTCCTGGCAAGATGGACATGAATCATGTGACTAAAATATTCACTGAAGCCTCAGTTTATGTTTTTTATTTTCTAGAATTAAATTGCAATTAAATGACCAATATTTTTCTTTGTCATTATTCTGGAAATGTCTTTAATGTAGTAAAGCGAAACATTTCAACCTTTAACCTCTGAGCTCAGACACATTCTGAACACTTGTCTGGCACAAACATGAGCAGTGATCAGCTGTTTCAGTCTCCCTAATATACCAGATTTTTTCATCAATATCAATGAAACATTCCCTTCAAAATCAGTGAAAATGGAAAAAAGAGAGAGACTGTAATGACAAACATAACCTCCTAGGCAGATATAATTACCGCAGTGTCAATGGCACAAACACTGGGGGAACCCACATGCAGTTTACAGCACTTGCGGGAGTTCCCTTTACTGCATGTGGGCGTTTCAGAGACACCATGTTCCCACTGAAAGTTCCACGACTGGCCGCAGTGTTTGTAATCTTGACAAAGTCAGTGCGCCGCAGTGTGTTGGACAGCTTGGCAGCTCTTGTCTGGGACAGCTCTAACCCCACACTATCATTGCTACGACACTGATGCAGCATGTGGAAAATTAAAAGTGTCGCTCACAGCTTTCCTCCCTCTCCCAGCCCACGCACACACTTCGACACGTACGACAGAGAGCAGTTCGCACTTGTCTGAGACAGAGAAAGGCAGTGAGCATGCAGGGTGAAGAAAGAGAGATATACATATTCAATTTTACTGCTTCTCCGGTCAGATTCAAAGCACTTCTCATTTGCTCCTTGTTCTTAAGTGCCCTATTTGTTTAACACAAGAAAACAGTGTGAGCAGTTAGAGCGTGAGCAGTAAGCGAGGGAACATTTTGCAGCCTTATTGCAGTGCAGGCTTGGACATTTGCATTTAGATGGGTGCATACACTTGTGTTACAGAGACGGAGAGCAGAACATTCATCGTCTCAGTCAAGGGATTAACAGAAGTTCGGCTTGGCACGTATAGACCTGCAGCAAGACAACAAGCGAAACAAAGAGACAGAAATGATTATGAGGGAAAACTGGATAAATATTGAGTAACTGAATAGATGTTAGGACGACAGCTGCCTTAATAATAGAGCATTAGAAATGGCTTCAACAAGACAGTCGAGACATCCACAGTCACACTTAATTGCTACTTACAGCGTTATGTGACATTCAAAAACCCTTTAAGCTCTTGAATGGTGGCTCACCTCAACTGCAGAAGAACCAGGCTGTTATATCAAAGGCACACTCTTCTATCTAATTCCACATTTCTGTGATTATGTTTTGTCAACATTTGGAGAAAACTCCCTACTTCCTGACCTGTTACCATAAAACCTTTTCCATATTTATTGAAAGACGATAAATTCACGATGAGATGTTGAGCAAATGAATATTCTTGGAAATATATTGGGTTTTTTCCCCCATTAAAACCACTAAACTCCTGCACCAATATTTCACATTAAGGACCATCTGGTGACTCAGAAGGTGTGGTCCCTTCCTTTGCCAGTATGGGCTTTTGCTGTGAAGCAGCAAATTAAAAATGCCAATGTAGAAGTGATAACAACTCATTAGTGACTGAGAAGAATATAAAAAACTGAAATTCCGAGCAGCAGAGGAGTGATGATTAAGACATGGCTCTTGTCGTATTGATAAAATTTGTTAATGACACTGAGTTCACTCCCTCGATGAGTTTTTCACTTCCTTTATCATCCAGTTAATGCTGTGTTATTGAAATCTTATTTGAATAATAACTTTCATCCGGCAATTTATTTATGTTCTCTGTCTGATATCAGTTTAATGAATTTAAAGCAGTTTTAATCAAGAATTGTTACCAGGATATTTGAACAATGCTGACCTTGGGTAATTCTCAGACATCCACCATCCACAAACATGAGACCCAACACAGCAGGAGAGACAATGACAGAAACGTAGCAAGGACAACGAATCTAATCTGGCATATTGAGGTTGGGGGTTGGGGCTGCAGGGAGACATGTTCTATGCAAAATTAAAATCCATCTTGGACAGCAGCTATGATTAATGAGTTAATATTTGGGGGAGAAATTGTTATCGGAGGAGGCGTCCTTGTCGTGTTGATAAGAGCTGTGAGGCAGCCTGGGCCTTCACTCGCCCCACACTTCAATCTCCTGAAATCAATAACACGACCATCAGCAACTTCTCTTTCAGCCTCACTCACTGTGACAGTATTACTTAGTTTTGTTTACAGTCCGCCTTAACTGATGTACTATAAATACTTGAACTTAATGTGCTTTGGCATCAGTCTGCTTCTTGACAGGGCACTCTAAGAGAACATCTGACAATACTGACACAATCATATGAATGCAATCGATTTGTATGTGTGGAAGTTCATTACAAAGAATCCTCATCATGATTTTAGCTGCATTGAATGCCTTTATTAGAGAGTCGACAGGAAATGAGACAAAAGACGGATGGTGACCAACATGCCCCCACCATGCGTTGACTGGAATTGTTCCTGGAAAGTGACCCTTAACGATAACGTTAGATGACAGATTTATGTATTCTGTTTTTCAACATAAATTAAACGTGGTGCAGGATAAGAGACAGTGCAGCATTGTCCCATTATGCAGGAAAGACAACATTTGGAGAACTAGCACAGCTTCACTCAATTACACTACCTCTGTCTAAACTGAATGGTGATTTGAAGTTGTGGTGATAAAACTTTAAGTCATTTGTATTTCATACAGTCCGCCTTACGTTTGTTTTTGTCATCCATGGTGTTAAAATCAAAATGCCACTAATTATTTCTCACAGGGCTTGGTGGCATGATTATTCATGCAGCACAGCTTGCTGCTTTTTCAATATTTCCCCTCAACAAAGGGAACAATAACTTGGTTTACTGATTAATCGAGCATGCAATACATCAGTGTATGAATTTCACCAATGCACCGACTGTTGCCATTATGCACTGTGAGTTTTTGTTCAAGATAATTACAGAACCAGTATTTACTTTTTCCCATTTTTCACAGTGCTCTAAGGTTGACTATAAATTGACAGCCTTCCTGCACAGTAACAAATATAGAGGACATTATGCTGTTTAATAATAACACTATATACGTTTTGTTTGTATTTTCAGGCACATGATGAAATCATAGCCTGTTGTAATGAAAACACAAGTCTTTAATCATCCTGCTTGGTTATTCTCTAAACATCTGCTCAAATGACTGCATCATTAACAGTATATACTGAGACTTAGCTCTGATGACTTTCTTACAACATTAGTAATATAACACCAGTTCACAATAAAGTGTCCTTGGATATCTTTGCCTCTCATTGTCTCGTACATAGCAGCTGATGATGATACCACACAATGTTTCCCAGCTCTGTTTATCTAATCATTTTTATAGTGAGATCTGATCACAGTGCAGGCACAGATGAGAATGATTATTAAAACCAAAGGTTAATGATCAGATGTCATTGGCCAGATTATGTCTCATAATCCATATCACATGTTAAACCAGGTGGAAATGTGTGATTGTGAGAACAGAAAACCTGGGAACTAGTTTGTATTCATGTCATCATGAAACAAATTTGACCGATTAGACTTAGTGTCCCAAACATCTGCCAAATCCCATTGATATTTCTCTAATTTCTTATTCGCAATCATACTATCACGAAACATATTAAATTAAATCAACAACACTCATTTGCCTCAGCTGTTGACAAATATTGTTTTACAGATCTCCTCTTCTAGCTAAACCAACGTCCTGACACAGGAAAGGTTGGGTATCAAAATTAAAAAACTTTCATCTCTTCATGTAATGGTTCAAGATTAGAATATTTGGTAATTCCTGTTTTTGACCAAATAATTAAAGTTCATTATTATTTTGCCCCCTACCTGTCATTGTCCATGTCTGAAAGGAGGGCTATATGCAATCCATATACTTGCATGACTTCAAACATACATCCATCAATACAGGGCAGTTTACTGTTTCGGGTCTTTTGAGAGGAGAGAGGTTATTTTATGTAGGTTCCACATTTGTGTTTTCAGACTGCAGTCACTAACAGCCTTGCTTTGGATCATATACAGATCAATCTTGCTGTCTCAGTTAGTTCATGTTAATACACCTCAGTTCATCAAAAGTGTTGGAGCGGTCCTCTATGGACTAATCAATTTCTATATTACAATTATAGGAGAACGGGTGAAGGTGAGTGGGCAGGGGTCATGTTTGTTTACAAGTGCATATGAACAGACAGGCTGCATTACAGGGAAGAGGCTGCACACAGTCCACTGTATTTATATTCAGAGCATGTTAATGCATTGTAACTCGACCAGTCTAACCAGCCACCAGCTGTTTGAGGATGAATATTTGAATAATGTTAACCTTGTAGCTGCTTGCTATGGATGTGTTGAGGAAGTTTTAAATCAAGTCAATATATAGACTGATCATTTTACAATAAGGACAATGAATAAGGCACTGTATATTCTTGTAATGGAAAATCTATATTTAAAGGGGTGCTTCTGCGCTGTGGTAGCACTTCTATGAAGGTGAGGGATGTGCAAGACAAATTTGAAAAAGATCAGTTAAAACAGAAGCAGCAGAGGCTGACAGAAGGGGGATTTACATCCACCTTTTTGCACTTTCAATGCTCTGATAAAAAGTGGACCCCACTGTGTATTTCCTCTGTGCTCGCAGACTGCTTTTCATCCATGTGGCCTGTTCTTGGCAAAGGACATTCTTCCATGCAGCGCTGCTACACCAGCACCTAAATTATCCAATTAGACGGTGAGCAAGGCTGTCTGGAGGCCAATGTGTGGCTCACAGAGAGGCCTAATCACGTCAGCCATACAGAGAAACTGCACTGAGCCCTAATATATTGAATTTCTGTTAAAGGTGATGTGCTAATGTCAACACTGAGTCACCTCCAGGGGCTAACACACACATACACACACTGCAGTTAACAGGGAAGTTCGGCTGCTGCCCTTTATAGTTCAGTCACTTTAAGAAAGTCAACTTTGATTAATTTACCTTTACCATTGTTAAGGGGCTCTCAGCTTCCTACAATGGGTGTGAAGAACCCATTAATTAACCATCATTTTCTAAGTGTCTTCAGTTACAATAATGATGATCCATTAATGGCTCTTTTTAGCCATTAGATGCTTTTGGAAACAAGGACCTGGAGTGTGAAGACAGGGTAGCAAAGCTAAACGCCTCGGGTTGGATACCTGGCTCTGCCTGGAACAGTGTCTCTGGCAAATCACGATGGAACTAGAAAGTGATGCAGCTGTGAACTTTGGGGTTAAATTGGACTTGGTGATGTATACATGAGTTTATAGTGAGTCTGCTTTGTCTCAATTCAAGGGCCATATCATTTGGAGGCTGCATTTGTACCTTCAAAGATTTTATAACTTGGTCATCTGTCCTTCCATTAACAATCAATGAAGGATCGAATGGGTCGACAACATATCCCAGAATTCATTCCATGCTGGAAACAAAGATAGCTAGCTAGGTAGAGCCGGCGGCCGAACTGAAAAAGAGTGGCTCAAAGATGCTAACGATGCAGGGCAGGGCCACTCCACAACAGAGTCCTCTTAAGGATGCACCACCTGAATTGGGACATAGCTCTCATCACTCCTGTCAAAGCTTGAATGACAACTTCATCAACCACATGTTCATTCGTCATCAAGCTAATCACAAACTGCCCCATAATGGGAAAATGATGATCAAGCTCCAGCAAGTCCTTTGTCAAGGATGTATTATCATGACAGAGATTATGATATCATCAAATCAGATTCATCTTTTTACCTGACCGCCAGTTTCTCTTTTCTAATTTGTTTAAAGTTAAACGCACACATTGCAACTGATTTGTATTCACCAGACTCATGCATCAAGGTTTAGATGCATACATAAATCATTTTCTAATGGCTTATCCTTTATTTGAGTCTATATATTTATCTCAGCTTCTTTCAAAGAGCAGCTTGATTGACATTTCAAGTGCCTGCTATTGTCAGTGCCTGACAAATTAATTTGGATTCCATGGCCAGAGTACAAGTTTGAGTCAAAACCTGCACGCTGCTCAATCAAGTCGATGTAAATTCAGGTCAATCAAGCTGATGTAAATGTGTGCGAGGAGAATTAGAGTCTGTCGCCTGGTGCAGCCTGTTGTTAATTCATAACAGTCGGCTGCTTTTTCATCAATTTGACTTATTTGCTTATATTTGCTTAATTTCTCTGTGCGCTGAAGCAGATTAATGTATGGCCAGCCCGCGTCAGCTGCGTAGTCAAATGGAGTTTTGCTGTCTAATTGCCAGCGGTGTCAAATTAGCAAATCCTACAGGAACAATGTGTTGTAGGCTCCTGCTTTGATTCACATATAAACACATCTTTGGATGGCTGGTGTTCTGTGTATAGGTGAGAATAACTCATGATGAACTGCATATTATAGTGATAATGTGAGAGTCAAGTTGATATGTGACATATAGTATACTGGATGTTTTTGATTGTTGGCTCAAAGATTAACTATGTGACTTAAATATATTGAGTACTTTTATCATAAAGTATAAAGTATACACTATGTATATAAAAACACTGCTGCTTTTAAATTTACTTGATTATTTTATTCAGATAATTATTAAAATGTCAACTTATTTGTAATTTGTAGTCAATTTTACGACAAAGGCACAACTCCACTAGAAAGAAAAACAACAACACATATGTAAATGTTGGGTAAAATTATGAAGTAATAGTCAAAACTATAAACTGTCTTTTACCTCAAGTCTAAATCTGAAAGTAATGCATTGTTTGAACTGGAGTAACTGAACACGGAATCAGATACATGTTTAGGACTTGTATTGTAAAACAAGGTAAAGAGTTTTAGGACTGAGTGTGCTATAGTTTTTGAGACGATGACGCACAGAAGACTGGTAGTGCACAGACTGAGGTTCTGGTAACAGGTAAGCTGAAGAGCAGGTCAGGCAGGTGCAACCCAACCAGGGGACGAGGACAAAGTTGGATGTGGCAGGAAACTGACAGGAGCTGGATCTTGAACCTGAGGTGCAGACAAACAGGAATCAGTTCCTGGCAGAGTCTCAGAAACTGGATTAAAGCCATTATAGTGTTAGGAACAAAAGAGTGGAGCCACGCACAACAAGAACAACACACACACACAAACACACACACACAGACGAGGAAAAGGGGAAATATATGACTGAGATTGGAAAGGTCATATTTTTTATTTAGCTTCTTAGCACCAAGTTACAAAGTCAGATCGAATCATCACTGAAACAGTAAAAGATAATAAGTCATTGCCTGATAATTATGAATTAGTATCTTAAAGAATATGAAACATTTTATTCTTCTCAACTTTTCATCCTGAGCTTTTGTTAGTAATGAGCCTCATCAGCACCCATTTCACATCAGAGCAGAGGTCACTGACACCAACTATTTTTAACAGCAGATTCTATAATTATTCGGTGTTGTACAGCTTTATTGTGGGCAAACCACAAATGAAGAGTTTTACCTAACTGGCCTTTCTTTCCCCAGCGGACAGGTTTTGACTGGTTGCATGAAAAAGAAAAAAAAGTTTATTAACGTGAAATGCCTTCCCAGCATTTAGCTGTGCCACACCATATACTGTAGTGCAGCCTTTTATTAAAGAATACTCAAATTGCAAACTTAATTAAAAAAAATGTTGTATTTAACAAATATCCATATAATAATAATTTAATAAGAAATAAAATTAGGGGTCGTGATTATAGTTAGTATATTGCTTGATTTCTAATATTTAACAGTAATATTAACAATTAAATTATTACAAATAATTATAATGCCAATCATAGTAACAATAATAATTATAATACCAATAATAATAATAATGTATGGATGGATGCGGATGATGTTGGCGAAAGCAGGGGGCTGCCTGGTGTAATGTATCCAGGCAGAGAGCTGCAGCACGCCGCCTCACAGCCTCCTCATCACCGCATTCACTTCGCTCCATGCGCCTTCGCCTGCGCCCGGCGGAGGTGGACAGTGGATGAACCAGACGGTGGAACGCGGTGGGATTTCAACCGCTTTTCTTATTTATTTTTTTTGCGGGGAACTGTCTCTGTATTCACCGCAACGCTTCTCTGTGTGTCTGTGGTCGCCTGTGTGTGTGTGCGCGCGCGCTGGTGCGTGTGTGTGTGTGTGTGTGTGTGTGTGTGTGTGTGTTTCTCCCGTGCAGCTCCTCTCTGCTGGGATCCTGGTCTGCCAGGGGCTGCAAAACCGTGCTACTCGACTCATTCAGAACCAAATGCGTGTGTGACAGACAGTCCACCTTCGCCATTTTAGCACGGCTCAATCCCGACATGGTAAGTCCCACTACCTCCCTTCACTTCCTTGGTGTTAAAGGTGTCGAATACCGTGTGTTTTTTTTTTTTTTTTTCGTGAGGCTTTTTTTGTGTGAATGCATCAGCTGTTTTTTTTCCATAGGGCGTCATTGTCATTACATATCAACAGATCCTCCCTCTCCTCTCTTCCTCTCCCTCCTCCTCCTCCTCTCTCCCTGTGTCCACATGCCAAAACCATCCTGAAAGAGGTTATTATAGGCTTTATAGATTTATTATAGGCGTTATAGATTATATATAGCCTATATATATATACATGTCCAGTTTGCACCTAGAGGGAGACAGTGCTAACCTGTGCATTAAGCTGTCAGATGTAAGCTGCTGATATTCACACATGGTGAGTGGGATTTAACGTTACCTTCAAGCTGATGATCACCTGCATGCACCCCCACCACCAACACGTTTCATATTTCACATGAAACACCAACGATCATGTCCATATTAGCATATTTTAACATATTAGACTGTCACTGGTGTCTCCATGGTAACCAGGCCCCACAGAGTACATGCTGAATGACGATTCAATAATGGGCACAACAAAAAAAGGGGACATGTTTTAATAAGGCTTAACACACACTTCCCTTACATGGTGGCTGCTGCAGCTGGACACAGTGAGCCAGCAGTGTGTGTGTGTGTGAGATAATGGAATTTTTTTTAAATCGCAGCAGAACCCCAGTGACTCAAACATGCCCCAGTTTCTTTGGGGAAAGGGCAGGGTCTTTGCGGGGAATTTTCATTCTGTGAGATTAGTTATTATTAGACTGGAAATTGCCTCGGAAGCAATTTGTTCACTAGTTGCCCTGGTAACAGCATGGGCACCGAGGCTCTCTTAAAGACATAGAAGAGGCAGCGTGCCGTTCATCCTGCGCGGCCTAGAAGGAAGGCTATGCCAGAGGAAGCTGTGGATCGCACCGAGAAAAAGGTTCGCCACCGAAATCTGCCACATTTGATTCTTAATGCTCAGGACGTTGTTTTATTTAAGTCAAGGTACTGTACAGTTTGATGGCTTTAACAACGATAGTCCTCATGTTGAGAGGCTGCAGTGGTTTGTTCCATTTGTGCTTTGTCTTACATTGGTTAATTAGATGACAGACAGTGAATTGTCAATGGCAGTATAAAGTTATAGTTCAGCCTTTTTGGAAATATTGTTAAGCCTTAAGCACAAGATGTTTGTGGAGAGAGACATCTAAAGTTCATTGATTAACAGGTAGCTAAACAAGTCAATTTGGAGTTACTGTATTTGCTGGGATCATAGACCATTTCCTTGTATTGTGCAAGAATTAAGCTAAAATAGCTTGGATATGGGCGCTGCCATCTTGTTCTGGTGACGTAATTTTGTGCAGTAGTGATGGAGGGGTGTCGCCGCAGTATCAAGGTCCCACTGATACATGCCCTCGAACAACTGCGAGTCTCAGCTGTCAATCATGATTTCACATTTTTATAGCATCAAATAACTAAAACCACTTGATCATACATCAGTGGGATCAGAACTAAAATGACAGAAATCATCATTTATATTTGCTATGTCCCATCTGCTAACATGGAGAAGGCAGGGTTTATGACCTGTACTGCACCCACCACCAGGGGCATCCAGATGTTTTGGCTTTGCTTTTTGGAGCTGTCATGTTGTGTCATGGGAAATTGCACACATTCAGTGTATCTGGCTGTGGTTCCATAATCTCCTTAAACCACAAATAATTGTTTGAACATTTCTGTTTGAGATTCAGGTCTTTAGCTTCAGTCTGGTTCTGTCTGAGCTGCAGACGTGTTGGCTGCAGCATTAGCTGCTTCCTCCTCCCTTTAGTGTTTTAGAAAGGGATCAATGAGTTATTTCCTCTGGTGTGTTCAATGCTGGATGGCCAAATCTACCACACTGAGGTTCCAATGTGTGGTGGCTGTTTGACATTGTGTTGGCTTCATGATTTATCGTATTATGTAAAATTCATTCGCACAGCAATCAAAAATGAAAACAGTCCTTGGTGGCTGACCTATAGTTCTGTCTCCAGACCAGAGCTGATGTTCAGCTCAGTTATCTGGGCAGAGCCTTGGCAGAGGGGTCACACCTTGACAAGCTGAAAGCTGACACACTGAGCAGTTCACCAGCATCAGTGACAGCAGCAGAAACAACAAATACTGCGACTGTGGAGCAAAGCATATGTGCCTGATGCACAGGCAGCAGAACATCACACTGATAATCCAGTATGAAAAGTCTTTCACTGTAATTTTCTGTTCACAAAATTCTGTAGTTTTTTATAAGCTTCAGATTTAAAAATTAACTGATTAAATTAAGTTAAATTAGAACTAGGTAACATTATTGACAGTTTTAATAATCAGTTAACCATTTCAATTATTCGAGGATGATAATGCTCAACATAAGATGCCACATGAAGATTCTCTGCTGTTTCCTGTGAGTGATGTATAACATGTGTACGAGCGATATATTATATGTTTGAGTTTTTGACTGTTGGTCAGACAGTACAAGGGATATGATGACATCACCTTAGATTCTAGGAAACTATGTTGAACATAAGCCTCCTTGACTTTTTCTGTCATTTTATATAACAAATTATCACTTGATAAATTGAGAAATGAAGGATAACGGATGACTGTTGATCTTTTAAGTTAAATTAATATGCCACAGGTAGACAAAAGATATACAGGATGTACAGGCCCAACTTGAATGCCCTGGTCCTTCCATTGGATGTTGTGCATGAGGTTGAAACTAAAGATTATTTTCTGTTGTTTGTCTGTAATGATTATTTTTGTCATCTGTTAACCTTCACATTAATCTTATTATTCGGTGAAAACTGTTCACCTGTGGATTTCTTTTAAGAAAACCAACCACTGGACACCAGCATGAAGACATTTGTGTAATTACTGACAAGTCTGGACAGATATTGGATGGATTGTCATGAAATTTGACACACATGTATATCCATAGTGATGATGACTCTTGTTTGTCCCCCAAGTTGTGATCTAGGGCCACTAACAGGTCAAAGTTGTCGACTTATTATCTTGTTTCCATGCATTATTATTGGCCATGCAATACTTCTTCCCCAAATATCACCAGGGGGGCTAGTTAGATCAGCACCAATTATTGTACAAACACTCATGGTAAATAGGAGATGAAATTGTCATTGCGAGCATGTTGCTATGCATCATTTGCATTTCGCTTAAAGCACTGCTTCGCCAACTATAAGAACGGCCTCACAGAGCCTCGAGTATGGCTGCTGAACCAATAATGCGGCTTCCTGGGTTTGCTGTCCTCCTTGTCGCCAGCCTCCACCTGTGCAGACGACAGCCTTTTCACAGCCCTGCTGCAGCCTGGGGGCTCCATGCACCCTGAGGGAAGCTAAATTGTGATGGCTTCTTCTGCCAGAAATGGAGGAAAAGGCAATCCGCTCCTCCTCACGCTGCCATCCCTTCCCCCACATTCTATTATTTTGTGAGACAGTCATGGCTACCATGCTAATTACGCCTACTGCAACAAACAGTAGCTTCTAAATGGCCCAGCCGCTCTGTCTGCAGCTAGCCTCCTACAGCCCCAGCATGACAAACACCCCAACCCCTCTTTTCCTCTCCATCTTCCCCATCACTCCTCTCCTCCTTCTATCTCTCTGTTCTCTATTTCAGTCATTTCATCACACCATTTTTCATGCTTGGAGACCACATTATATTTTAGCTCTCCCTCTCTCCCTGTGCTTACTACATCATTTACTCCCTCGCCGCCACCTCTCGTGTCCATTTTGCTCAGTCCAACTTTGCTGCAGGCTTTTGGAAGGAAAAACAGAGAAAAATGCACGGCAGCCAAAGGCACCCCCCCCACCCCCACCACACACACACATACATACACATACACATACACATACACATACACATACACACACACACACATACACACACACACACACACACACACACACACACACACCAAAGCTTGAGCCTGGTATACTGCCAGTGCTAGACCTGGATGTGGCAAGTGGATGAAAGAGCATGCCTGTGTTTGTATCATGTTGCTGGTGTAACACTGCGTAAGGCTTCTCCTCAATTTGAATGTGGCTTCAGGAGCTTGTCGATGCAGTGACAAGGCATTTTTGGTCAATTAATCCACATTGTGAGAGACAGTCTGCAGGGCTTCAGGTCACCTGAGTGTCAGCACACTCAGATGCATAAGTCATCTGTGCTCCACCTTTGAAGTGGCACAAAAATGGATATGTGATACAATGGAATCAAAAATGTATGTGAAATTACATTCCACGATTGAATTTTTTTTGGTGATTTTTAAATGCAAAGCCTTATTCTCTGTAGAAGAGAAGCTTATGTAACCTGAAAGCTATTTTTTTGACTTAAACTTCATTTTGTTTCATCTGCCTTTTCTGAAAAAGTCTTATCAGTAGGCAGACTGGGCCATATTGGAAATTTAATACAGCCAACTTCAAGGAACAGTCTGTCTTGTCTGTGTGAGCTGTAGAGCTTAGCTTAGCACAAAGACTAGAAACAGGGGAAAACATGTGGCCTGGCTCCGAAGAAAATCACTGACCAGCACTAAGCTCTAAGGCTGACTAGTTAGCATGTTCTAATTTCCTTGGTTTAATCTGCATCAAGTGTAAAAAACATCAAGTTGTGTTATTTTTAGGGGTCAGGTGCAGGTCTGCTTCATTGCCAGGGGCAGTGATTTCTCAGAGTTCCAGGAATTTGCGCACTGTCACTGTGCCCAGCTTCTCCCGGTGAAGAAATATTTCCTGCATGTAACTAAAGCTGCTTTCAGACATGCACTGAACTCTGCAGACGTTTAGTCCATTAGTAAAAAGTCCCCAGAAATTCTGTAGGAGCTGATGTGAGAGGGGGGTGTTGATGATTTATGTATCCACTTGTTGGGGAAAAAACAAACAATCATTTTATTATGAATTAATGGTGCTGGATATTTTCTCTGAATAACTGTTTTGTCTTCCAATAAATAGTAC